TTTCTCCTTGGGTCTATCCTGCACTTCCTGAACTTGGATGGCTATTTCCTTTACCATGTTAGGGAAGTTTTTGACTATAATCTCTTCACATATTTTCTCCAGTTCTTTCTCTCTCTCTTCTCCTTCTGGGACCTCTATAATTCAAATGTTGTTGCATTTAATGTTGTCCCAGAGGTTTCTTAGCCTGTCTTCATTTCTTTTCATTCTTTTTCCTTTATTCTGTTCCATGGCAGTGAATTCCACCATTCTGTCTTCCAGGTCACTTATCCGTTTTTCTGCCTCAGTTATTCCACTATTGATTCCTTCTAGTGTATTTTTCATTTCAGTTATTGTATTGTTCATCTCTGTTTGTTTGTTCTGTAATTCTTCTGGGTGTTTCCTCTTTAATTCTTCTAGTTCTTTGTTAAACATTTCTTGCATCTTCTCGATCTTTGCCTCCATTCTTTTTCCGAGGTCCTGGATAATCTTCACTATCATTATTGTGAATTCTTTTTCAGGAAGCTTGCCTATCTCCACTTCATTTAGTTGTTTTTCTGGGGTTTTATCTTGTTCCTTTATCTGGTACAAAGTCCTCTGCCTTTTCATTTTGGCTATCTTTCTGTGAATGTGGTTTTCCTTCCACAGGCTCCAGAACTGTCCACCCTTTTGTTCTATCATTTCTGTTTTTTTTAATTACTGGGGATGGAATTCATCACTCATTCCTCCAAATCTTTCAGAGCACAGCCTCCCACTCAAGGTGGTATATAATAATAAATAACACTACTGAGTAGTCACTATGTACTTGGCACTATTCTAAGTGATTTAAATATGCTGTACTTAATCCTCACAATAAACAAATGAAGTAGGTACTAATACCATAATTTTACAATGAGGATGTTACTTTGCCCAAAGTAACGGATTTTAAGTGGTACAGCCACTAAATCTTTCTGTCTGGTAGCCCTTCTCCCTATGAGAATATCTTGTTAGTGCAAAAAAAGCAGGTGCTAACTAGTAGAACATTCAAAATCCAGATTCAGTTAAAATTCTATGGAAACTCCAAACTGATATCCATAATATCAACATTCCCACTTGATCCAAGAAAAGTCAGTCAACTCAGGACATCATCTGACAAGCATCATCCCTATTTTCTAGATGCTAGGATAGAACCAGCCTGATTCAGTAATAAGCACATGTGCCACTATGGGGCAGCGTCTATATCTTGTGTGTGCTCTGAACAGCGCTCACCTCAGAGTGAGTATTTAGGCTACATTTGAAAGTGGAATTAACTCAGGGACTTTCCCAAGACTAAACAGCAAGTGGAAAACCAGGACTTCTGCAATCTCTACTCTGGATATCAGCCATAGTCTGTACCTACTAGAAGTGAACTAGCTTCACAGAAGAGAATTCAGTCTGGTCCCATCAGAATCTACTGAGTCTGCCAACTTTCACAAACTAATAATACAGATGAAGAGGTTTATATAAACATGACCACCTCAGGTTCCCTTTCAAATGATTTTACACAAGAAGGAATGCACTTGCACCTTCAGAAGGAGGAACCAACTTCAAATTGACAGGATTTCAGGAAACCCTGATTGAAAATCACATTTTTCTGACATCTCCCAGAATGAGAATTCATTGTAAGATCCTCTTCTCAATGAGCAGGAGCCTCTTATAAATTAATACTGTCTATCTCCTGCTCATGCCCTGAACTTCCTCAAGCAGCAACACATCACTCATATCTTCTTCATTTCCTTTCCTGTTGACCCATACAAGCCTCATGAATACCACCTAAGTATAAAATGAAAATTATAAGACAGCCTCCCATAATCTTCTTAAAGAAAGCCCAAAAGGTAACTTCGACCTGGCAAAGTAAATAGATTTCCTGCTAGCTTAACTAACATTTATTGAGAGCTTATAATAACACAGGCATTGTATAAGGGGAAAAGGGATGCAAAATTATTGAGGTATATGGTCCCTGCCTTGAGAAGCTCACTATTAAGTGGGAGAAGGGCATATTCTAATATTTCCTTATAAAGAAATAAAATAAACATTATTTTCCCAGGATTTTTTTTCAAATATGTCCTCACTTACTCCAAGCTATTGCCAATATATCAAGCTCACCAGGCCTCCTTACTTCCAGCTGCCTAGTAACATCTCCATGTGCATATCCCATGACAACTTGATCTCAGCATACCAGACTAGCTCCCCTATACCTCTTTCTATAGCCACCCAAACCTTAAAAAAATCTGCTCTAGGGCTTCCCTGGTGGCGCAATGGTTGAGAGTCCGCCTGCCGATGCAGGGGACACAGGTTTGTGCCCTGGTCCGGGAAGATCCCACATGCCGCAGAGCGGCTAGGCCCGTGGGCCATGGCTGCTGAGCCTGCACATCCGGAGTCTGTGCTCCGCAACGGGAGAGACCACAACAGTGAGAGGCCCACATACCGCAAAAAAAAATCTGGTCTACTTTTACTAATCCATATCCTGGTCAATGAAATTCCCATCTACCCAATTTCTCAAATTAGAAAACTTAGCCCACTGTCTCTCCCCAGTCACTAAATCCTATTGCAGCTATCTTAGAAATATTTCTAAAATCCATTCCCCTCCTCTTCATTCCCACGGTCACATTTTATTCAGACTCTCAGTCAACTGCAACAACTCTAATTAGTCTCACTGCCTCATTTCTCATTACCTTAATCTGCACTTGTCACTCCCTAACATTAAAACGCTCCAATAGCTCCCTACTCTCTTTTCAGTCTCACCTGGCAATTTCCCCACCACACATCCTGTTTTGGACAAATTTCTGACACTTAAACATCATGTTATTTTTTTTTCCTCACACTTTCACCATGCCTTTGCTCATGCTGTTGTCTCCATCTGGAATGCCTTTCTTTACTTGTGCAAGCTCCTACCCATCTTCCAACACCCAACTCAAGTATCTCCTCCCTACAAACATTTCCCTGACTTTCCAGGCAATGGTAATATTTCCTTCACACCATATAAATTCCTTTTAATGGATATATAACACACAACACTACAATTTTCATGTGAATATGTCTCTCTGATATTCTTAAAGAAAGATATTCATATTTCTAACCCCAGTGCCAGTTACATAATAAATGCTCAATAGGGACTTCCCCAGTGGTCCAGTGGGTAAGACTCTGCACTCCTAATGCAGGGGGCCTGGGTTCGATCCCTGGTTGGGGAACTAGATCCCACATGCATGCCGCAACTAAGAGTCCGCATGCCACAACTAAAAAGTCCGCATGCTGCAACTAAAAGATGCCACATAGGTTAAGAATCCACCTGCCAATGCAGGGGACACTGGTTCAAGCCCTGGTCCAGGAAGATCCCACATCCCGTGGAGCAACTAAGCCCATGCGCCATAACTACTGAAGCTGCGCTCTAGAGCCCATGAGCCACAACTACTGAACCCGTGTGCCACAACTACTGAACCCGTGTGCCACAACCACTGAAGCCCGTGTGCCCAGAGCCTGTGCTCCGCAACAAGAGAAGCCACCGTAATGAGAAGCCTGCGCGCTGCAACGAAGAGTAGCCCACGCTCACCGCAACTAAAGAAAAGCCTGCACCGCAACTAAAGAAAAGCCTGCGCGCAGCAATGAAGACCCAATGCAGCTATAAATTAATTAAAAATAAAAAATAAAAATGAAAGATGCCACATGCCACAACGAAGATCCCACATGCCGCAACTAAGACCCGGTGTGGCCAAAAATGCATTAAAAAGAAAACTTAACAAGTGCTCAATAAATGTGTGTTTAATAAACTGTGTGCCCTCACATATCCTGGATCAATTTGTTATTTGGTTATTTTCCCAAAATTTTATGGATTCTTGAACTTGGCTCTATGTAAAAGTCCAACTTTCATAACACTGCTTTGAGTTTTCAAGAGGTTTTATTATTATTATTCAAATGTCGAACAAGTGTAGGAATTATAATGCCTAAACATCCAATGAAAATACGTTAAAGGCTCCCCTATTCATTAAGGAACGAACGAGAGTCCCCCTTCACAATCCTAACTAGAAGGATCCACCTTTCTCTAGACTGATTGATCTGATATCTGGAAAAGCCCTCACATAGGAACTACTGTGCACACAAGACCAACTGAAGGTACACCCAAAATAATTCCAATTAACTTGTGCTAAATTAAGAGCAGGGACACAAATCCTATTTGCCCTGGTTTACAAAGTCAGAGAGAGTATAGAATAGCAAAGAAACAGCTCTCACTGAACTCAAAACTTTTTCTGGAGAGGAAGAATTGGGGAGGGTCGGATGATCCACATTTATTCGGGCCTGCCCAAGTTTCTACTTCCCCATGTCGAAAGGCAGCACTCCTCAGTTTCTGATAGTTCTTCCCCAGGGAACCAGTTTTTATCTCCTGTTTCTTCCCTACACTTGCCTGGAAACAGGTTTGTTTCCCAGGTTCACACAGAGTAATCAGAGAAAACACGGTAGCTTCAATGATTGTATGTAAAGGGTGGGCTGAAGCCCGGCGATCAGAGACTGTAAAGAGGAGACGGGGACTTTCCGGGACGCCTGATGACTTCGGGCAGACAGGGCTTCCTCTAGCCCTTCTCCGAGGTCTTGCCCCACGCCCTCACCCCCAGAAACAGGCTGGGAAGAAGGCCACTCGGGTGGGAAACACCTGGGAGGAAAGCTTTCAAGGTAGCCTGAGGGGTCGGAGTCAGCCTCTTGCTGGGTCAAAGGTCGGCGCCTCGGCTGCCAGGAGGGCCCAGCAGGGACCCGGAGCGAGAGGCGTGTGACCGGCACTGGAGGGTTAGAGGGACCGGCAGCTGGAGTAGCGAGCCGCTTCTCTCTCCGCTCCGCCGCACGCAGCCTCTGCGCTCCTCAGCAGCTGCCCTCCCTCCCTCTCCCCCCATAACCCCTGTCGTGCCCTAGCGAGCGCAGGCCCCGCCTCCAGGGCCGCCTCAGGGCCAAGGCCTAGTATGGCAGTACCCGCAGAGGCTGGCCAGGTTCGGAGACCGGCCCGGGCCGGCGCCGCTTACCGAGCGCCGCTTACCCTGCCTCCTCCTCCACCACCCGCGCCGCTCCCGGACCGGCTCGCTCCCGACGCCACCGACGCCGCAGCTGCTCCGGGCTCACGGACGCGCTCCCGACCTCCCCAGACCCTTCCCCCGGCCCGCCGTGCCCCGCAGGATCCTAAAGCCTGCCTCGTGATACGTTCGCCCGCGCCGACTGCCTGAGGCTGGCTCGGACCACGATTCCCAGCAACCATCACAAAGACTACGACTCCCAAAATGCACCACGAGAAAGAAATTAGCAAAAGAAACATGTATCAAGAGTCTACTGGATGCAAGTTGAATTAGCAGTTTCTTTAAATATGGCAGACCCTGAAATCGGCAATTCCACTTCCAGCAGTAAATATATCCTCTAAAAACACTGGCAAAGTTTGGAAAGATATATGTTCCAAGCTCTTTATTGCAACTCTGTAAGTGAAAGATTGGAGACAAACTCATTCAATCAACATATATGTAATTGTGTGCCTGCCATGTACAAAGCACCGTGTAAATCTGTGTCAACTTGGCAAGTTACCTCTCTGAGTCTCAGTTTTCTCACACGCAAAATGGAAGATTAAAAAAAGACATGCAGAAAATAAAATTAAAAAAAGAATCTGGAAAAAAAACAAAAAAAAAGACATGCCGGGCAGTGTGTGCGTGTGTGTATGTGTCTCCTTATAATGACTTTATAAAGTTGGTACCTCACAGATATCAAAAAAAAAAAAGGTTTTGAGTGATTAAACAGCTTGCTTAATGTTCTAGAGTTAGTAAGAGGTGAAGAAAAGTTTAAACCCAGATCTATCAGGAAAGAGGTCTTAATAGCCCAAAAGCCCAGGTAATTTTAATTTTTCTTGTCTGTTTACACAGTGGCATAAAACATGATTAGTGGTAAAAAGTTGTACCCTAATAGGATATAAAAAGTGAGAAGTGGTAATAGGAAGGCATCTTGAGGTGAACCCCAAGAACTATTGTTCCTGAACATGAGTTAGAAGCCTCCTGTACAGCTGAAAGAACCCCTTCCATACCTGACTTCCTTTTAGCACATCTTTGTTGCGCACCTACTGAATACCCAATTCTGGGAGTAGTAAAAAGAAAAACAGTTACAATTCTGAGATTATATTGTAAGAAAGTGATAGATGATAGATAGAAAAATAGATATACAATTAAATGTTTTAAATATCAAACAGTGAATTATCGAAGGTAAGCTTAGAAAAGCTCAAGCTGTAAATGCCCTGAAAATTCAGAGAATGGAAAATTCCCTGTCAATCTTCAGAGGCTTTTGGGGGGAAGATGAAGATGAAGTTAAGTCTTAGAGGAGAGAAGAAAAGGAAAGGCGAAAGTGTGAAGGTGAAGAAACACAATACACTGGCGGGAAGTGAATTAAATACAGATTCAGCAGAGGGTAAGTTTATAAGTCCACAGACTGAGTAGGTAAGAGCGCGACTTCTGGGATACTGTGGAAATGAATCCCAGGCTGGCTACCTACTAGATGTATGACTTTGGACAATTAAATGAGCTCTCTAAGCCTTAGTTTCCTATCTGGAAAATGGGGATAATAAAAGGCCTATGTTATATTGGTTTGGTTATCCAGCACTGAGCCCTTCCCCTCCTTTTCTGGGGGCCTTTTGGGTAGAGTCTTTTTTTTTTTTTTTGGTACGCGGGCCTCTCACTGTTGTGGCCTTTCCCGTTGAGGAGCACAGGCTCCGGACACGCAGGCTCAGCGGCCATGGCTCACGGGCCCAGCCGCTCCGCGGCATGGGGGATCTTCCTGGACCGGGGCACGAACCCGTGTACCCTGCATCGGCAGGCGGATTCTCAACCACTGCGCCACCAGGGAAGCCCCTTTGGGTAGAGTCTTGATGGAAAACCAGGCCCTGGGCAACCAAGATAAGTGAGCTCATGTGACCTGGGCTTGGCCACTAGGTGCAACCTCCAAGGGCTTCAGCTCTTGATCAAGAGATGCAGAGATGAAAAGATGGTCAGAAGTCATTCATAACAGGTGCTGTCCACAAATGCAGTGACCAAGTCATGCAGCACCAGGGGCTGTGGTGTCCTGGCTGTATGGTTCCTGCAGAAAAATAGTTGTGCTTCCTATTTCCTGGTCTTCAGAGAGTTTGGGTTCCTGCACATTTTCTAAGCCTGTTCTTCCTGTCTCCTGCAGTTTCTGTGACCCTCCCCACACCAATGTTCTTCTAGTAAATTTCATTTTTTTCCATATTTCTGTAACTATTCTATAACTCTTAAAAGGTTCCTAAGTGATATCACACACACAAACATGTGCCTACTCAAGCTTACTCATTCTTTCACCAAACATCTATTGAAGTCTTTCTTTGTGCCAGGCTCTACTCTAAAAGTGAGGATACAACATAATGTACAACACAATAAGTATAATTAACACTGCTGTAAATCCTAAGGGTTCTCATCAGAAGGAAAACAGATTTTTTTTTCTATTTCTTTAATTTTGTATCAATATGAGATGATGGATATTCACTAAATTCATTGTGGTAATATGTAAGTCAAATCATTGTGCTGTACACCTTAAACTTATACAATGCTGTACATCAATCACGTCTCAATAAAACGGGAAGAAAAAATTAAAAATACAGTGGCATATACATATATGCATGCTTTTGTAACCATCAGAAATATGCACGTGTGTATCCATCAGAAATATGGCTAAAGGGACTTCCCTGGTGGCACAGTGGTTAAGAATCCACCTGCCAATGCAGGGGACGTGGGTTCGAGCCCTGGTCTGGGAAGATCCCACATGCCACGGAGCAACTAAGCCCGTGCACCACAACTACTGCGCCTGCGCTCTAGAGCCCACGAGCCACAACTACTGAAGCCCGTGTGCCTTGAGCCCGTGCTCCACAACAAGAGAAGTCACCGCAATGAGAAGCCCGTGCACCACAATGAAGATTAGCCCCTGCTCGCCGCAACTAGAGAAGGCCCGTGCGCAGCAATGAAGACCCAATGCAGCCAAAAATAAATAAATAAACTTAAAAAAAAGAAATATGGCTAAAAATACTCAAAAAATATGTAGTGTTACACAATACTGTAAATCAATACTTCAATTTTTTAAATGTAGTGTTTTTAAGTGAGGCTGTAACAATGAAAGAAATCCCATGGCAACTAGGAACAGCTGGAGGAGGAGCAAATCTGGGGAGGAAGATGATGTTTAGGACATGTTGAGACTGAAATGTCTATGAGACATCCAGGCAGAAATATTTAGTAGACATTTGGATACCTTCATTGGAACTCAACAGAGATCTCTGGAGTGTAGATAAATATTTTGGAGCCATTGTCCTAGTGGTAATGGTTCAAGCCATGAGCAGGGAATAAATGGCCTAGGAAGAGGGCTAAAAAAATATTAATAATATGGGGAGAAAAAAGATAAAAGGGCCCCAAATGGAATTTAAAACCAGCATTTAAAGGATGGTGGAGAAAGAGGAACCAATGGCAATAAAAGTTCTGAAGACAGCACTATCTAAAAAAGAGGAGAATTAGAGGAGAAAGATGCTGTGGAAACTACAGGAGAGACTTTCAATAAGGAAGTTGTCAAATGTCTCAAAAGAGAAAAGGAAATTAAAATGCCTTGAAGACTTCAGGAAAATCTACTTCGGGTAAGTATTGGTTTGAGAAATGAATGGAAGGAGAGAAAGTAGAGGCAACAAATACTAGATCTTTGCAAGAAACTTGACTGTGAAATGAAAGGGAGAGGGAGTGATAGGAGTAAAGGTTGGGGGAGATGAGAATGAAGGAGTGACTTCCAGGACAGGACAGACTGGGGCGTATTTCTATGCTGAGAGCAAGAGGACAGAATGAGGATGATGAAACAGAAACGGATGCCGTTCTCAGGGAAGTTGCGTGGAAAGGGAGGGAGGGGCAAGCTAATGAAGGAGGGACTGGAGGAGGAGAGAGGAATACCACAGCACCTGAGAAGGTTAATCTGGGGTGGAAAGGACTCCTGCATATCAATTTGTAGGTGCTAAAGAGATTACACACAGACTCAGTGCCATTAAAGTATGTGTTCATTTTGTTTTCTAGCAAAATGTTAGTTTGGGTGACCTGTTGATACAGTGGTTTGGTGCATTGACCCTGGACCCAGATTGCCTGTGGTTGAAATCCCACCTGTATCTCTACTGCTTAATAGCTGTGTGATCTTGGTCAGTTTACTTTATCTCTCTGTACTTCATTTTCCTTATCTTTAAAAGGCGGGGTGGGGTGGGGGAGTCACACAGTAAGGGCTATGGAAGTACTAGCCATTATTATTTTTTCCACTAGTTTGTCATCTCCCTGAAGTTGAGGTTTTCTCTTTTGTTCAGGGTTGTCTACTCAGAGCCTAGCACTTAGTAGGTGCTCAATAAAAATTTCATGAATAAACTGGGATGAGAGAGCGAGGCGTGGAGGGAAGGGAAGGCTTGGTAGTTGGATGCTGGGCGGGCTGGAAGCCAGATACCTTAGTCATACTCTGTGCCGCTCTGCGGTTTCCTGGGGCCTGAAGCACCGGGCCTACATCCCGTCTCTGAGAGCTTCCCCAGGACTCGCGAGGTCGGAGCGCTGAGACGATTGTGTGCTCCGCGGCTCCACCCCCGCGAGGCTCCTGCGGCCCCGCCCCTGGTGGGCGGTGTTGTGCCGTCAGGGAGTATACCGGCTCCAGTCGCAAGCTAGCCGTGAGGGGCGGGGCCGGGCTGGGCGGGGCCGACTCAGCCCGGCTTTGGCTCACCTCATCAAAGAAGAGCGGAAGTCTCAACCCCAGTCTTGACCTGCCTTGGGAACCCGGCACCGAGAGCCGGGCCTCGCCCCACGGGGAGGCGGGCCTGGGCGTGCACCGGCGCGGGCGGCACCATGAAGCGTGTGGGAACTCTGCGCCTGCTCTCGGACCTGAACAACTTCAGCGGCGCGGCCCGGCTCCGGGAGTTGTTGGCCGGGGACCCAGCCGTCCGAGTTCGCTGCAGCCCGGATGGCCGCCACCTGCTGCTGCTGCGACCTCCGGGGGCACCGGGCCCGCAACTGCTGGTCGCGGTGCGTGGACCCGGCACGGAACTGGAACGTGCCTGGCCGGCTGGCCAGCCCTCACCGCTAGACGCCTTCTTCCTACCGTGGCCGGCACGACTGGCGCTAGTCCTAGTGTGGGAGAGTGGCCTAGCCGAGGTGTGGGG